GGGGGAACTAATGAAGGAAGCCGGTCATCTTAGCCGTGTCCATTATGGCTCAAGTGCCTGCCTGTCCTTTCCGCTGCTGCTACCTCCCTGCTCCAGTGTGATAGACAGACCTGCAACCTGACCTGCCCTCTGCCCATGCAGCTATGAAGCTGCTCCCTCAGCTGCAGGAAGCTCACAGGCAGGAAATCAGGGCTGGACCAGCTCCCCAAACCTGGCTGCAGAGCTCTCCTGACTCCATGGGAAAGCAGGAACACACCACCGTTTCTTTCACTTTTAAAATGCCACAGCCAGATAAAGGCATTGCTGTAGTTTGCCTTTACATTCGCAAGTGAGAAATTTCAAGACAACGTCCCCTAATGACAGTTTTTCAGTTGGAACATTCAGATCACATGCGTATATTTGTACCTGACATCAGGCTCTAATGCTTTTCACTACATAATATGTTCAGAAGAATAACACAAAAGTGCTAGAGGAGCAAACCTGAGTCCAAGTTTTGACGAGGTCACTTTAAAGTCACTTATCTCATAAGAGTAAACTCTCAAATAAATCAGTCTTCAAATAGGCTTGGCATTTTAAAAACTTTTGAAAATAAAGACTTTTGACCAAGCTTCAGAGAGCCTACCTAGATGGTGACCTGAAGTACAGATGTCACCTGAAATGTATTCATTTGGTAAGTGTCTAATTTTCTTACCTGGCTCCACCAAACCTCGCTCAGGTGCTGCTTCCCATTCTGGTTTGGTTTCTGGAACAGGAGGAGGGGGGCCACTAGACAGTCTTACAGAGAGAGCTGGGGGCACAGCTTTAGCAGCTTCCCGAGGGAGCACAGTTGGACATATGCCTCCTGGGATGCAGCGCTTTTCCGACTCTTGCTGCTCAGGGAGTAGGGAAGTGACCTCCACTTCAAGGAGCAGAGATTTTTCATGGCCTTCTGCTTTGGTACAGGCATCTGTGTCCAGGGCTTGTGCAGGTGGACCTTTCACAGAGGCGAAAGAGAGCAGAAGTATTCTTTTTCCTGTCATATGTACTGAAGAATCATAGTTTGCAGGCTCCAACTGTGCAAATTTAGTAGAACCTGCACATTTTTCAGGCATGCCTGGGGCTCTCTTGCCTACAGGTATGAGACTACCTGGTGGTAACAACTCATGTTCTTTTAGAAAAGCAATGTGATCAGTTAAAGGGATAACTATTTGTTCTGGAATTTTCTTGACATAAGTAATTCCTTCAGTCATAAGTTCATCTTTATAGATAGATGTTTTATGAATGGTTGACATATCCTCAGTACCAGCCTACAAAGGGACCTCAAGAGCTTGAGCATAAGCAGGAAGTTCTTGTCCATCCTGCAAGGGGAGTGAGGAAGCTGCTGCTGAGGGTGGGGTAGTAATCTTAGGGGTGGATGGTTCTGAAGGACCGCGAACTGCTTCACTGTTCTCCTCAGGCTCTGGGAGCTGCTCTGCACGAACTGATGGGAACTGAGTGATTTTGCTGCTAAACAGTGGTCCAGTTGTATTATCCTCCTCTGTGTCTGTAGATTTTTCCATCCGTGTAGCTTCTTGGGAAACTGTAGATGTTCCTCTTGGTTTTTTTACACATTTTGGTTCCTTCTCTTGTGTGGTTCCTTCTGACCACTTCTCAAGTAAAATAACAGCCAGATGATTAATTAGCCTATTTTCCCCAAATGAAGAATTTTAAATAGAGCAGCAATTGATTGAGCATTCAAATGCCAACATATACACAAGAACAAAAGAATTTTGCTTTGTTTTCCAGTATCTGTGATTTAGTGTGGGTAATGAAACTTTCCTGACCTACCAATCAAAAGACACCTCAATTCATCTCCTTGAAATTAAGTGACTCAAAGTAGCACAGTGACAAAAATCAAAACCATATACCAATTTTGCCTGGTCAGCAACAGAGGAAAGATGCTAACTCTGCCTAGAAATAAGGAAGGTAAAAACCTCCGATAAATATTTACCTTCATGTGGTATACTAACAGTGATAAAACAAATGTGGTCATATTAATAAAGGTATCTTCCAAAATTTAGGTAAATATGTGTATTAACTTAATAATTGGAAAACTAGAGGATAGGGCATTTTACATCAGGAAGCATCGTCTATTCCAACCTAAAAATGGTAGCACCTGCTGGCGAGGTGTGATAATGCAGCCAGAGTCCTACTGTCCCAGACAAGAGGAGCAGAGAGGAGATCTGGGTCCATCAGTATGGACTCTGTGAATCCTCAGGTATGAGGAAAATTCCTTGGAAGGCTTGGGAGGCCAAGACAGCTGATGACATACAGAAACTCCTAGAACTGTAAAACTAAAATCATTTTCTGCTTGTTGCCCACACACCTGTGTAACCACCTTTGTTGTTACTCGCTGAACATTTTCATACCTGCTTGTTTTACTGAGGATTTTCTCTTGTGGAAGTGTTTCCTTAACATCATAATAAAATCTAGAAAAAGTGGAATTTGCTTTACAAGAATGTGTTTGCGTCAAGTCAAAACTTGGTTTGGAGACATGTATGTTTTCCTAGGTTCAGCTGCTTACCGAAGAACAGTGTCTCCTTCGGCCATAGCTGATGATTTCTTGTAAACTCAAGTCAAAAGTCTAGTTCTGGACAGGGCTACCACACCAAATGCCTGTGTGCAGAGAAAGAAAAGCTACATCTACTCTTGCCTCCCTGTGCTTAGAACAATAACCTAATTTTCCCAACCGTTCCCCTCTTCGGGACTTCCCCACCCACTTTTTAACAAAACCCTTTATCCACTAATACACTTGACTGAGTGCTTGTGCTGTGTGTGTAAGACACTGTACCAGGCACTGTTATGGACATAAAAATTATTAAAATGAGGCCTCACAAAGCTTACATTTAGTAGGGGAGATAAGACAGATATACAAATATTATAGGTAAAAAGGTATAAGTGCCTAATAATGGTCCTAGTAAAGATCTGTGGACATTCAGAGAAAGAAAAGAAGAACTCTGTCTGGGGGAATAAAGGAAATTTTATTTAAATAAGTCTGGCTTTACACCTAAGATATAGAAAGCTGAAAAAAATATCATTCCTATTATAAGGAGAAAAAGCCAGATAAATCACAAAATAATTTTTCTTGAGCCCATCAGAAAAGAGAGTGACAAAGCAATGAAGTAACCTGACTTCCAAAGTGCAACCTGCCCCTCCAAAGAGAAAAAAGGCCACAAGAACTGTCTGATCTGTGGCAGGGCCCAGAAAGGAGAGGCCACCACCATGCCAGCTGGTAAGGTATCAGCTAAAACATTAATGTACTGGGAAAGGCGATATGTGGGCTAGGATATCAGTGAATAGCCTGGGACTCCAGTTGAAAGAGCCTCCTAGGAGTACAGGCTGGGCTAGGTGACCTGGTGTTGAGAGTGCCCACGGCAACGCAGCACTCCTGGCAAGGTGGAATCCCAGGGTGTCATGCGATATGGTCAGTGGTTTTCACAAAGTTAATGCAGATTCAGTTCTTATACCAGTGTCCATACTGTGACCTCATCGCCTAGCGCCCTGAGAACCGCCGTCAGTCACTGCTCGCCTTAGGGCAGTGACTGTCCTGTGACCATCTCCTGAAATACCCTAAGAACACCAAAGCCAGTCACTGCTTTCAGGCCCACAAATTCTGAAGAACTGTTGAAGAGTTGCCATGCGCAGATAATGGGACACTGTCCTCCAAAATCTGCGAGGGTTATCATAGGATGTTCACTACTTTAAAAAGGCTTCAACTGCCTGAGGGGTGGGGCCAGCAGCCCAGTAGTGAAGAGCGTCCTGGTAGATGTAGCACCAGCTGTGCATGGGTGTGGAGACCCAGGATGTCACCAAGGTGGTGTGCACGCACAGATTCCAGCAGACCAGTGTGGTCTCAGACTTGGCCCTTTGGGGAAGCGCTCAATATTGAAAATGTGGCACCTTCCCATCTGCGTTGTGTGTCAGGCTTGATACAGGCACAACAATGGCTCCTGACTCTCCAGCTATAGCAACAAAGCTATACAACTGTTTCACAGGTTTGAGCCTCCCGAGCTGCCACCCCACCTCTTGAGACCAGGTGAGTGTTTCCTAGCAGATGAATCCATGTACTGGCTCTACAAGACGTTGTCTGTGTTTCCAGCTTTCCTAAATTACACTGGGAGGGGCAAACAGAGTCTTCTCTGATTTTCACTGCCATATGCCATGGGACCATTTCTTCTTGGCACATGACCCCTGGGCTGCGAAGCTCTGTGTTGGACTGGGACCCCTTCCTCTTCATGGGGGACCTCTGTCACCAATATGTCCCTCCCAGTGTTTAACTACCATATGTGGGCTTGCGTCAGTCCACTTTGCAACTCCATCCATCCTACCAGTCTCAATGTGGCCTCTTCTTTATATCCTTTGTTAAAGGAGTTCTGTTCAGCTACTCTGCAGATGATTCTTAAGGTTGGTAGGTGTATAATTTGTTTGTAATTTTGGTAGGTGTATAATTTGTTTGTAATTTTTGATTCTGGGATGAAGTAGGCATAGTGTTTACATAATCTGCCATCTTGGGCCTCTCTCAAATTGTTTCAATTTTCTACAGGAGTTGTATGGAAAATTCTGTGGAAAACTTTTTCTATAATTTCCTCAGCATCAAAAGTTTAACTTTTTTTAAAAAATGAGTTCATGCCTTATGTTGGAGAATGTTTGTGGTGAAACTGATGATGGACTTCTTGACCATTAAAGACAGGAAGGTTTTACTCACCTAGACCACTTGGATCCTGGTGTGTATGTTTTAGGAGGGCCTTGAGAGTTCTTGTGATTTTATTTGTCTATTTCATAAAATTTGCATGATTTTTGTATTCTTTGCATTGTTATTGATTATGGTCATTCATAGTGTGCCTAGGTTTAAAAGAAAATGATGGTTGTATTATATTTGTCGTGCCAAAGGATTTAATGTGTTCATATTAGGTTAATGGAAGTGATGAGACCGCAAGTTTCTGAGGAAAGAGAGAAGAAATGAGACACCTGATCTGGTATGGTTATATAGAATAATAATCATTATTTCAAACTGCCTTCAACAAAAACATTTAATTGCTAAACATATGTGTAAGTAGCTAAGTGATGCTGTGCCTATTTTGAAGAAGTGGGCATATATATGTACACACACAGTGAGAGAATGAAAATTTAATAGTTTCGTTAGGGTATGGGTTGTACATTATCAAACCTACAAGTGGGGTTCCCTTACTTCCTCTATCAAAGGCAGATGAGAGTGAAGGCAGTCAAGTGAATGTTTTTAAATGGCTTGAAGTAACGAGAATTAGCTACTGAAACCCAAGTCTTCTGTAAATAGCACAGGAGATAATAAGAAGCAGCTATAGCTGTTGTTATAGTTCTAAATTACATACATTTTGATGGGAAGTGACCTAAACTGGATGAAGATAAATGGCTTGACATGGTTTTAGGTAAGAATGATGTTGAGTCTGGATGCACAGTAAAACCAAGGGGCATACTAGTCTCCCAAAATGAAATGGAAGGGTGAATTTTTGTACATAATTCTAACCATTGAATAATTTCTTTAGCAAAAGATGAAACTACAGAATTCTGCACCAGAATGAAATTTAAATATTCTGATTATTTTCAAAATAGTATTGCTATGTAAATAGACTTACGTATTACATGTGTTCTCGTGTCCATGTATAATGTTTGAAACACAGTGTACTTCATTTTTTTTGTTGTTGTGACATTTGTTTAGAATAATACATTTCAATATATGTATAGTTTTGTTTTATTTTTTTGCCAGCTTGTATCTCTGGCATGACATATTTATCTAGCTCTTAAATCGGTAGTAAATCACTCAAAAACAGATTTTGAATTGACAGGCTGAGTGGTGAAACATTGTTCTGTCCCAGGAGGAAGGGATCCTTCCTTCACAACTTCTTGCTGGATTATTCTGGAGAAGTCCCATCTGTGAGGCACACCAGCCTCAGTTCAGATACAACTACTCCCTCTTTTCTCTCTTTCCTGTTTTAGCAAACTTCTGGCAACAAAACAGACAACATTTTGTGATGACAAATATAGCAGTTGCCACACAGGCCAGCAGAAACCCAATCACATCCAAAGAGTGGTACTGGAACCAGTTGAGGTCATAGGAGGCTGGCCGCAGGTGTTTGGCTCCTTTGTGACGCATGACAAACTCGATCCAGAAGATTGCTCGATCTAGAGGTTTCATTGGCTGATCATGGTGAATTCTCGATAATTTCATGGCGTTCTTTTTATATCTAAAGGAGAAACCAAAAAGACACCAACATTGAAAGGAAGTTAATTTGCCTAAGCATATTATTCCCATGAAAGGTTTTTAAGTCTCATACATATGTTTCAAAATAAATGTCACAGAATTGCAGAAGTTATTTTCATTTGGGTCTTCATAAATGGTCTGGTTTTTACATTGGAATTTTGTGATGACAAGTATTTTATAAAGTGAAGAAGGAAGATAATCTGGGAAAGTTATGTCATTTTAGCAGAGCAAATGCTAGAACCCTTCTAAGGGCTATAAGTGTGAATGAAAAAGGATCTACATAGCAGACGTGACAAGTTCAATGACCAAAAATAACCATGCAGCTTGATCTGATCATAAGTTCCTAACTGTGCAAGTCCTGGTGAGTAGTCACATCCCAGGCCGACTATAGGTTAATCTTTACCTTAAGGGAGCATGTCCATTGTTTTTATACACCTAGGATACCTTACCTTTAGAATATCAGAATAACTTCTTTTCCAGACACCTCAAAAGTGTAACTGTAGGCACCCTAGCACAATGACCACAAGTTTCTCATTGCTGTTTTGTTGCTCACATACCATCTCTATTTAGTACAAATGTTAAATATTACCTATCCTGTATTTCAATGCAAAAGAAGTTTGTATCTCTCCATTTTACCTGGTATCCAATCTGAGAGATCTCATCTACCTCCACTTTTGCTTTCTCCCCCCTCCTTAATCTACCACTAATAGATTTCATGTAACGTTCCTTATGTTTTCTCCTTAAATTCTAAATATATAAAAAGGACTACCAAACTGCCATTCTCGGTAACATTTTCTCATTCCTTGAGATTTTGCTTTGAGTCGGTCCTCAGCTATTGGCTCAAATAAATCCTTGAACATTTTTTCTGTAGGTTTGAACTTTCTTTCGTCATTATAAGTTGGATGGTAAAATGCAGTTTTAGGATGATGCTTTTGAAGTTTTAAAGAGGAATTGTTTCATGGCCGGAGAAATACCTCCTCACTGATCCCTGTGCTTCTGTTCTTTTCATACCTGTATTGTCATTGTCAACCCAGTAGCCAGAATGATCATTTTTTAAAAACATATTAGATTATGAGACTCGCCTATTCAAAGTTTCCATCTGACTTCTCATCCCATTTAGAATGAATTCCAAATCTGTTCTTTGTCCTACAGGACCCTACATAGTCTTTAAATTGCATTATTCTTTCTAAATGCCCATGATGCCACACCTAAATTTTACTATGTGATTTAATTGAAATTTCAACTAGTTACAGAATATAATGTTGAAAAACTAGTGTGGAATTTTCTGGTCAACACCAAGGAGGTAATCTTACTTGGGCCCTCTTAATGGCAAGGGTTTTATCTTGTAGAGAAGAGGCAATCTGCATGATAAAACCCTTGCCATTCCTTTGCTGGAAAAATATATCCTTGTCTAAATATGTATATATATTTTTTGCTAATAAGTCCCCTGCCACACCCTCCTTTCTGTACAGCTTTCCATTTTGTACAACTCCTCAGACAGTCCTTGTAGTTCCTGATCAGATGCTGCCTGATTCATGAATTGCTCAGTATAGCTAATTATACCTTAAAATTTACTGGGTTGAATTTTGCGTTTTGAAAGTGGACAGACCCCTGGCAACCTCTGTCCTGTCACTTTGTCCCATGCACACTCTATTGTAGGCACGTTGGCCTCTGGCTGTTCACAGAAGCTGCCAAATGTGTTCCCACCTCAGCACCTTTGCACTTTCTCCCCACTTTGTCCTCTCTTGGAATAGTCTTTGCTATCACACCCCAAGGCTACTTCTAACTCTGATGGAGGCATTGGTGTCAGTTTCACAATTAAAAGAGGCTTTTCCTGGCCTCACTATGATACAGCATTGGATACTATACAGCACCCCGTAGGCATTCCTTCTTCTTCTTCTTTTTTTTTAACCAGTTTTCTCAGTACATTAGGTGTATTGGTTTAATATGATTTGAAATCCACTTCTTTGTCATATAAGTGAAGTTTTAACCCAGTTGTTTATGGCAAAGACAAAAAAAATTCCTATATCACTGAAATAAATCATTTCTTGATGTCATCCTTCTACATGTGGTTTCCTTTGGTAAAAGAGGGCCCCCCCCTGGGAGCTTATCAGCTAGAGCCTGTGGAGAAGCACATATGACAAGGGGACATTTAAAGTATGAATATTGAGTTTGTGAGCAGTTTTTTGAGAGTTTCAGTTTGGAGGAGGTGACTCTTCACTAGTAACCTATTGTAAAAACTCTGGAGACCCTTGGGGCATTCCTTCCTGTCTTGTTGAAAAACCCCTCTTAGTGGTGCTAAACCTCAGAGCAGCCCTGTGAAAGAGGTCAGCCAGCCTACAAACACTGGCCACTTTGTTCCCTAGCAACCTGTTCTAGCAGCAGGGGACATTTACTTTTGTGCTGGATGATGGAAATCAGGTCCTGGTTGCTGATTGTCAGGAGTGCCTCTTGTCAACTGATGGTCACTGGTGCCATTTCAACACCAACAGGAATCCCCAATTTGGGGTGCAGTGAAGCGGAAAACTTTATTCAGTGCAAACTGAATATTGAGCAAGCAAAGCTCAATAGTGTTCTAGCTCAACTGGAAAACAGCATAGCTGTGAGGTGGCCCCTCTCTGGCTAGACAGCTCTGCTCTTCTCTGGTCCTGTTAACTCCACTCTGTTCTGAGCCGGTCCACTCCCCTCTGCTCTGCTCTGGAGAGGTCTTTTGGTGTTTCAGCTCCAGCTGGGGATATGCAGCCTTCAGTCTTCCTTGGAAAGAGAGTGTCCACCCTGAGCTAGAGGGGAGCTGCCTTATATAGATAGAAATTCCTTCCCCTGATCCCTGTTGGTCCATCCTAATTCAAATGGAGACTTGAAATTCTCAGTTTGATTGGTTCTGAAGGCACTGTCTTAATTGGTCAGAATGGAGCCACTGTGGTCAGTAAGTTGCTAATGTGATGTAGCTGTCTGGCTCTAGTTGGATGGGGAAAGCCTCAGTCCTATTAGTTGAAATACTATTCCAGGAACTCCTTTCTAAGGGCTGGCTCAGATGGCTGGGACACAGTGTGGGAAGGCAGTTTAGTGCAGGAGGCAGGCTGCTTAGTGAAGGTCTCTACCCAGAGTGCAGCCTGCAGAAGAGACCTCTCTGTAGAAATGACTGCTAGACTGAATTTTATTTTATTTTAAGATGAGCCTAGTTAGCTGCCTGGAGCCCTTCTTAGTAGGTATCCTCTTTCTCGGGGTCCACACTCATCTTAAAAAATACACCTCATGTTAAATTTGGGCTTTATTTCTCCCTCTCCCCTTACCTGGGACAATAGTGTGATTAATTGGTCATTTATTTGGTATATGTTATTTTATTTTATTTTTTTTCTTTCATGAATTTTTTATTATATTTTTTTATTGTGAAATACACGTTTTTTAAAATTAGTTTCAGCTGTACAACACAGTGCAATAGTTATACTTTTTACCCCTCCAAGTGACAACCCCTCTCCCCCAATCTGCCACCCCACTTCCCCCCAGTATCATACATATCTATTACAATTCCCTTGACTCCACTCCCACACTATACTCCACGTCCCATGACTATATATATATATATATATATAT